CACCGTACACCCCTGAACCACTCCTCATCGCCAAAGCCGTGTGTATTCCGCGTAAGACGAGGCCCTGTGGACCCGCTGGATCGAAATATTCCTGTTGCTCGCGTTCACCCGCTTCGCCGTTCGTGAATTATATTCCCGGACGACGTGAAATCTCTCTCGGGACGCATTCCGATCTTTACGCGATCCTTTCCCTCCCGGAAACAATAGAAACCGATCCCTCAAACAATCTGCGGTCGGAGATTTCTAGCGACGCTACGAATTCTTGCTAAAATGCAGATTTTTATGCGCTTACGGTAAATGCGATAATGCTTCTTTGGACAGAGCGCATGGGGGCATATATAGAATATCCAGATCGCAATACGTTTTGTAATATTCGTCGAGGAAGGCTATTTTCTATCGTAATTCCACTTTTCTGATTACATTGTTAAAGATTCGAGTTGCATGAGATTGCGAGAAGATCGATGAAAAATCAGCAACACGAGATGAAGGATCGAACCAGGCAACAAAGAAGATCCTCCGTGACTCGTTCGACTAGCCGTGATCACCGTCAGCCGCGGAACGTGTCCCGGTTGGTAATTACGAGGCAAAGAGAGGCGATTATTCAGCTCGGGTCGTGGCGTCGCGCAACGCGCAAATAATAAGCAGGAGTGGTTACAGGACGACGGACGAGATTTGTCACCATAACGTTTAAGCAGAATGAGAAAACAAGTATCTGCCGGCGAGCCGTGTCTAGTTCGACCTAAATATTACGGCCACCCCTTTGCGTCGCCGTTTTAGAAACAATTCCCTCTCTCTCTCTCTTCCGTCGCGGGTCAACATCGTTCTCCCGCTGTCTCCGCGGACTGTTTTCGTGCGGGCAACCGGCACCGCTTGCCAAGCCGCAAAGACCAAGACGATTTGTCGGTCTCGAGTTTTCCTTGTTCCACCGTAAATCCGGACTAATTAACAAAGAGTCCCAACCCGGGGACTCTTACACGGTGACCGTCGATCAGTCGGAGACATTGTATTCTTTCGGACATCGCACAGTGGGGTATCTGCCCGATCTGAGCGGCCAAACTTAGACAGGTCTACATCGAGCTTATACAAATAAATATAAGTACGTAATATAATAATATACAATAACATGCAATTATATGTATTAATTTTTGTATCTCTCCATGATGAGGACACAAATTATGGAAATTATAACCGATTTTTATGAGGCAAATTCTGAGCAGGAAGCGTATGACGCCAGCACGCGATAAGCGAACGAATTAAGTGCATTGTAAGGCTGTGGTTTCAAACAAATTAACGGCGCCAATAAACGGGGTTCGCAGTTAAATAGGTAATGGTCCGCCAAAGTGGTAATTTGAAGTAATGTGGATGCACCATGAGGAGATGCGTTAGAATTAAAAGTAAATAGAAATATAAATAATACTTTGATCATTATAGCATCCCGTTATTTCTACTATTACTATAATAACATAGACGTCGTGATTGCTCCTTTGAATTTTCCCATACTCTAACTTTATCTCCTATTTTATTTCGTTACACTAGAATTCAATACAGTTACCTTTAAAGATACTGCAGATGCATAAGATCTATAACCTACTGATCAGAATAAATTTTGATGTACCGATCCACTGATATATTACGTAAAAAGAGCAGATTACGCGTAGGGGACGCTAAGTACCAATCCCTGAGGGTAACAGAGGCCACATGGAAGCGGCGAGAAGCAATGGGAATCAGGAAATCAAACAAACACCAGCAGGCGTAGATTTTATCGTTGACAGGAAGACACTGGTGCAGGTGCGAACGCGACCGCGTGGGTAGGGCCATGAATAAATCAGTTCGACTCGGTGCGCAAACGTACAGTACACAGATCGGTGCGCCTATCTGGCCGAAGATCTCTCGCGGAGCTGGTCTCCTCTCCTAGAGATCCCCAAGGAAATGCAAAACGTGCGGCGACGGCAATATTTTCTCGAAGGAACGGTAGCTAGTCGGTCGAAGGGTCACAAGGAATTCGTGCAACAATGAAAGAACGTATTTCGGAAACAGGTAGGAGGGTCGTAACAAATTTATCTCGGGTCCCTCGGATTATCGAAACCCATCGAATTCGACCGCTATAAATTAACAATACAAATTAGATCTTTATCGTGAATCGAGTACAAGATTAATATCCCTTATCGTATTAAATATGAACTAGAACTGAACATTATTCTTCTATTATCAATCGTTAGTCTTTGTAGCAACTGTAAACAGAAGACGAGCATCGAGTTCTTTTCCACTTGCGGAAGAATCGCAGAGGGTTAAGAAGAAATGTCTTACATTTAGATTTCGCTCTTCCGCCACTCTGGGTATTCCGAAGGGCCACTCGAGGACGAACGTTGAATCAAGGAATCGACCGATCCCGATCAAGAAACCAGCCGAATTGGAAGCGGGGGGCAACGGTTCCCCGTTCGTGGAACGGGGATGCGCCGTCGGGAATGCCGAAAAATTTGAAGAAATAAGGAAGACATAAAGAGAGCACCGGGAAGCCCATCTTGTCGCGCCACCGTTCAGGCCCGCGCCACGTGTGTGGTCCCGTCGGAGCACGTGTCGCCAAGTTCAGGGGCGTAGCCTTTTTGCCGCGGCGCGGGGACGCGCGCCGCTCGCTTTTTCCCGTGGAATCCGAAAATTCCGCGACGCGGAACGCCGAAAAACGGGCCGGCCGGCCGGCGTGACCGCGAGCGCCGACAGAATTCGTCCGAGCCGGCCGGCGACGCAAGAAACGCGCTTGTAATTATCGCGAAACTCATCCACCCTTCCGCCCTTCCGCGCACCCCCTCGGCTCCGGCGAATCGATCACTGTCAATTCTTCCTCCTTTCTTTCGTCGAACTACTCGCATCGAAGCCCCGGAAGAAAAAACTGGCCAATTAAGCGGGGAACGATTTATCGCGGTACGCGGCTCTCGTTGCCCCCCTTTTTTCCCCTCTTTTCGTTCCGATGTTCAATTACTTTGCCGCGTGATGGATTTAATTACTGAATGTTCGACGGAACTACTCGGGGCTGCTCGTGCGACCGAGACGCGCGCATATTTGTTACGTTCGGCCGCGGAATTGTAAATTCCGGCTGCGCCGATCGATGCGACGCGTTCCTGTGTTGAGCGGTATAGAACTTCGCGGACATTCGCGAGAACTGCGTGTCGAACAGTTCGAATATGCGAATGTTCGAGGCCGCAGGAGGTGTGATGCGTTCGAGGTGAACTAATGAACACTGAAATGCGATTCTGACGATAATTACTTGTTGTCAATCTCTAATTACCGTAACAGTTTCTTGGACACTCGAATGCTATCTAATCAAAGAGGAACTTTTTCCAAATCACAAAGAATTACAAATCGCTTTCGTGAACTGCTAACTGTACGGACTGGACGAAAAGAACACCGTTCCTTCGTATTTAAATAGTTCTGCGTTTTCCAGCCACAGGTAATCGACGACGATCCGTCTAAAAATAATTTCCCTACGATCGATAGGATCTAGAACCGAGGCTGATTGCCGCCGCTCCATTTTCTCCCTCGTTCGTCAGCATAAGGATAAACACGAAACATTTTTCCAATGGTCTTCGCCGAGTCGGCCATGACAAAAGTATTTCATAAATATGAGTGGTTTCTGGCACTGTCAACGCGAAACAAAAATACCATGTTACCAGGGTGCGTACGTGAGCGTGTGTTTGTCAGACATTTTCGGCAGACAAGTTTGACAGTAAATATCAAAGAAAACCTCTGCATATGCGCGGTTATCTAGACGCATATCTCGAAGAAACCGAGAAAACTGCTGTAATTCACTCGAACCGCAACTGCAAATTAAATTGTATCTCTTCCCAAACAAATTATTGCAGAGTTTTGCAATAATCTACCTGGCTAGACAATGTTGTTGGAAATTTTCAACAAAGTAGGGAACGCTGAGTGATTTAATGGTATATAGTGTTGCTGCTTTGAAGAGTGCATGCCAAATTATTTGATTCGACGGTGCATTCGAAATGGCGGACGGTTTTCGAATATACTAATATGGCCGACGTTCGCTGTTATACTTATGCTAGTTCATAGACGATACAACCAGATGCAGGCAATGAGAAAATATTAATAACTATGTTCGAAGAGTATATTCCATAAAGGAATATATATTATTGCTGTAAATAATGCTATATAGCAATTGTATCAATGTTACTCACATCAAATTTCAATTTAAAAAGTTCAAAGTCGATGTATTAATGATACATTTCTTTTTTCTACACAAAGTTGTTAAACTGATAATTTGTGGAACACTAAATCTAGCTTACATTTTTTTTTTAATACAAATACAGATAATAAAAGTAAATATAATAGTAAATTCCGTTTATCAATAATGTATGTGTTTATTTATATAAAAATCTAGATGTGCAATTGGATAGTGTAAACAGAAGGAAAAGATTATTTGAATATACCTGAAACTGTTCTGTCATATTGTTCAATTTGAATTCGAAAAAAGTATGGTCTCAAGTTGCTGCACGTGGAGTCATCTGACAGCACGCGGTGCAACCACGAGAGTATCAAACTTTATCGATGGCTCGGAGCAATGTCCAGCTATGTGGGAGGCCCAACTTAACCCCAAAATAGAGTAAACATTTGTCAGAAGGATCGCGTTCAGAAAGTTGCGGATCGAGGTGCCGCTTGTTAATTAGAAGGAAAAGATACTACCAATCTAACCGCGAATAATCCTAACCTCATTACCGGAAGAAACATCGAATGACATAATTGGAGCGAACGCATGTTCCGGATAGTCCTCGGCCCGTCTGTTTACAATCCATTGCGCCGGGATCATTGGCGCCAGCGAATATCGATTGACACCGTGAACAACAAAGGCACGAATGACAGTACGAAAGAAAACAATGAAATCGTTCCCCAAGACGAATGCAAAAAGTCATGCGTGGGAACGAGGGTGTGAAGTAGCCGAGCATTATGTGTGTCTACGGCTTTTAATTTATAGAGATTCATGTACTCACTTGACTGTCGAGGCCCGCCAGGGCTTGTGTCGTCGATCACAGGTAAACGTATTCAATTCCCTTATCACCGAACTTGAAAAACACCCCTCCAAATCACTTGTCACTAATTAAAGGCCTCACGATGGCGGCCATAACTGCCGTTTGGCTGTGACTTGGCACGCCGATCGTGAGATGGCGGCACCGATCGACCGGCACAGCGCAAGCGTGCGTGTTTCATATGTATATTAACCTGTTAAGAAAGGCAAACAAATTTAACAGTTACTTTAGCTTGTTACTTATATATCCGACGATTCTATCCTGGAAAGAATATTTTTACTTGTTGTGAAAATAATTCAGTTTTGAACATAGGAATAAAATAAATGTTGTGATGCAAATTTTTTACAATTTCTTTTAATAATTTCAATCGGCTGTGTATTATTGTAGCTGCAATCGAACTGAATTAATATTCGTAGGCGTTAACTCGACTGAGATCTAAAAAATTTGTTAAAATTAACATTCAGAAATTGAATTGCTTCTAGACTTTAATTTGAATCTCCCGCGTTAGTCGCTCGAAGAGCAGTTTAAAGATCAACCGTACACCTCGGTGTAGGTTATTGAAAAGCATATAAATTTATAAAAATGAGGATTCTAAGGACTCCACTATTTGATGCTGACCTCAAACGAATTTGGGGCGCGAGCTTACGTACGTATTAAAAAACCAAATACATTGGAAAGAATTCTGTAAGGAACTTTTGTGATATTGCAGGAGACAAAATAGCGCACTTCTGGCGCAAAGGATGGAATGAGATACCAGAAATAATGTTCACTACTCCCATCGCTCTAGCCAGCATTGTCGCTGTACTTTATTTAAGATTTACTACTACTGTGTATGACCGGCCACCAAAATTTTACCGTAAAATTACAAGTAAGTTATTAATCCTAATTTTTCTTTCTAGGTTAGGTTTTATTATTATATAATTGTGAAACTACAGATATCTTGATACCACTACATAATTATTAACCGTAGCGACTATATTTTCATTATAGTTTCTTTCAGTAGTAATTAAAGAATCAAATTGTATCTATCATCAACTGTGAAATTGTAGTTTACAGACCTGATGATCCCAGAGTCGCTAACATCAGGAAAGACAATGGTTACAGCATAGAACCTTATGCAGGTGTCCGTTAGGTCTTGGGTAGGTAAGAACAAATGTAACTGGAGAAGAAGAACTTATATATTTCACATCTGTGCGCATACCCAATGCGAGCAAGAGGAAGTAGTCGTAATAACCCAATATGTATATATTAAATAATATAGAACTTTCAAAAAAAATTTCTTGTTGCATTTCATTGACTTGTCATACCTTTAACCCTTAACGACCTAGTATGTTTTTCTACTATAACTAATCAATAGACAGCTGTTAGAATAAAACAAATTTTCTTTTAAAAAATGTTAATAAAGTAAACAGGATGTATTAGACAAAACAATATATGAAAAAAATACCTAAACCCTTTTTATTTCTAAAGGTAAAGTAATATAGAAATCTGTCTGTCCAACACTACTAGGTTGTTAAAGGTTAATCATGACTTAGTTTCAACTTTATAGTATTAATAAAGAATGTAAAAGAAGATCTCATAAAGTGTACCTATGACATTAAACAGCATGAAGCCAATTGTTATGCAGGAACTTAAATTTCTTAACAACTCTAACAGATAGAACACAAAATCTTGTTGGCGTTTAGAAACTATACCGTTTCAATTTTATAACGATGGTTATGACGTTCAAGTCACGTGACATTCCTAACGATGTAATACCGGAAATGACGTATTACAAGTTGAAATTAAAATTTAAAAAAAAGGGTAAACTGCTGCTTCGATTCTCTTCTACTATTTCATACAATAAATGTAATTAAGTATTAATTAAATTGTCAATATTTCTTTTTTATATTTCATTTATTTACATCTATACAAATAATGCCAGGTGAAAAATCTAATCATTGTACTTAACAAAGGTATGCGGAGGTCAATTTATCGTACTAATATGAGACCGTGTATCACAGAAGCACCATTGATACTTGTGTTCACGTGTTAACCTACACGTCGAAGTCCCAACCATATAGTTCCAAAAAGGAAGCAGGTCCTGTTGAAACGTGCAACGTTGCGCGAGTCAGATGACATTTATCGAGCGTATATTGGCCGTCTGCGGTGACATTTGGCCCGATACCACACAAACACCCCGGACTCTTTGTATTTATTGAAACTGATCGTTGGATCGTGCGAACAATGAATGTCGCGTCGTGCGTTCCGAGGAATGTACCAAGAGGAATTTCCGATTCGAATGCGGAACGTCCTCTAGCCGATGTACCTGCTGTTAATGCGGAAAATTACGTTACCTTTTTTTCTCCTTTCGACAATCGCCGAACAAACGATCGTTATAGTCTCGCCGTCAACCGAGCTATTGTTCAAAAGTATCTGCACAGAAATACACGTTGTAAGGAAATAGAGTTGCTTCTCCGAGAAACATCACTGTTAGACAGTGTACCGTGCAGCAGCATCACGTCTACGAAATTCCGGTACAGACGTAAACAGACCACGTCTGGCTTTTTACGAGCCAGCAAAATGTTCGAACGCGGCGTCAAAGTTTTATGCCAACTCAAGGCATCCATCAACGCCAACGCTCTGCTACGTCATGAATATGATAGGGCAGGGAAGTGTGCTACTGTCAGATGGTTCCACAAATAATGTCATTTATGGATGCTAGCTTTCGGTAGTAAATATCGATTCTTATATCCATTTATACCCGGCCACAAATAATCATTTTCCACGAGCACTTCTCGTCACTAATTTCTTATCCTTCTTCCAAAGCGAACACCGTGGTAACCACGCAAAGCTAGTTAAACTAAAGTACTTTATATTCTTCCACAAACAACAATGTCTATACCTACATCCAAACAGAGAAATCACAATCCATTCCAACTCTCGCCAAATCGTACTTCCGAATTCAATTTCCCCATTCTCCGGACGGGCATAATATCAACATTCAGCGTTCGCCTGGAACTGTTAGAACTGGCCTGTGTATTTCCATTTCAGAGCAAATTCGGGGACCAGCATCCCGGTAGCTAAGCCCAGAACGCGAGTGCTAGCGTTGAGGTCCGGGCCTCGGGAACGAAACCGTGATACGGCGCCTAGGAGAATCATTTGCACAGATGAAACGCGAGCCCGCGGAACGGTCGTGCATTTCCGCCCATCAAATATGTAGCAGTCGGTGTGGCGGCAGCTTAAACCTGCAGGGGCCACGGTGCATGCACCTGGCGGTGGCGCGCAGGATCGCAGGGCCGCCTGCGACGGTCCGCGCTTCCTTGTGTAACGTATGTGCCGTGGCGTTATTTCAACATCGCGCCGTAGCTAGGTGCACGGAGAAGGGACGGCGTCCGATCGGGAACGGCGAGGGGAACGAGGAGCTGCAGGGAGCAACGAGAGAAGCCTACTCAGTGGGATGGGTGGCGGAGCAACAGGAAAGGGGGTGGCCAGAGTAAGACGAGGAACTTGGCCGAGATAGAGCGTGAAAGACGGAAAGCTACCCTCGCGAGCAGTCAGCAGAGAAGGAGAGATTCTTTGGAATAGACGCGGCGTGATAGATAACGCGACTCGGGGTGCAAATGAAAATGGAGAAAAGGGTGGCGTGAAGATCCGAGACATGGTGAGGAACAGGTGACACCCGCGGAAAAGGGTTAAACGAGTAAAACGTTAGCATCGTGTCGGGTTGTGGCGACCTGGAGAGGGGAGAGGAAGCGGAGCGGGAGAGAGAGTAGAGGGACCTCCGCGATACGGACCACCCCTCGGCGGTTCGCCAGTGGTTCAGTCAGCGCTTCGCACCGGCGTCGCTCCTCCGCTCTCCACGGCGATTCGTCTTGGCGAGCCTCGTGCGGATAATCGCGTGGCCGATGTCGCGAGATCAATGAGCGAGCGTGCGGGCCGCGAGAACGGGCTGGTCACTGCGATATCGACGCTCGACGTGTACCCGTGCCGGATAAAGTGCTACCCCCGAACAGCCCAGCCAGTAAACACGGTACTCGGTGTCGTCTAGTCGCCCGTGCCCGGTGGTGTTTTCGGGCAAGTGACTAATCGAGCTGCGAGAACGGACCCGTCGGACCGCGAGAGGCAACGAGGACCTGAACGGGTCCTTGCGGCCAGGAGCGGTGCATGTCTCAGACCCTGCCTCCTAGCTTTTCGTCTTGCGAAGCTCTGCCTACGTCCCTGAGGTGAGTACTGTTCCGCGGAATCTCCGAGCCTCTCGCGGCGGGCCGAATATTCGACAGTGAAAGTCGTCGGGAGGATTAATTCCGCCACTTTCCGTGGTTCCTCGAGATTGGAATGTCCGAAAAGATGATCGTGGAGGTTTCATCTGGAGAGTCTCAACGAGTCGTCTTCCGTTGACAGGAAATTCAGGGCGAAATTTCGAACTGTCGACGCTTGTAGGGCGCTTGAAGCAAGTAGAGGATCAATTACGGTTATACCCGACCACAGCATCTTCTAATGTAACTCGATGAAGTATTTCAAGTCGGAACATTCGCCTTGATTCGACTTCAACGAATTTTCCAGCGTTTTCTGCCCTCGCATTCGTACTCGCGGTGGACACGATTTTCCTACGGTAGTCGGAGCGTTATTCAACTCCGTATCCCGACTTCCTGGCCATCCATCGATCGCGCGTTCCTTTGCAATCTGATCCCGCCCGATCGTTATAGGACCGATGAACATCCGATCGCGTGTGCTGGCAGTCGCCGGATCAAGATACGACAGGGGATTTGCGTTACAGAGTTGATCGTTCGCTTCCACGGCGAACTCCCGTGGATATCCACTTTGCTTCGATCCGTGGCTCGCGAAGAATGGAATCGTGCGCCGTCCCGTTCGTCGAAACGAAAGTGGAGTACGGAGTTCTGTCTGTCGGTTCGAATTGTCGCGGACAGTTTCAAAGGCGCTGGTTCAGGCCGCTCGGAAGCCTCTCGACCCGAAACGCACTATTAATGTCGCGTACGTCCGCGGTGAATCGCCGCCGCCGAGGAGCCCGGCTTTCAAACAGACTTTACTCTGTCCAGGCTCATTTGACGGCGATTCACAGCGGCGATTATTCTCGCGTTATACCTCTTATCCCGGCCCGCCAGTATTTTCCGCCATTCACCGGGCACAATGGGGCTAGTTCCACGGCGTCGTAAACCGAAGTTGGACGTCGGCCAAATCGGGAGTACCTGTGACTCTGCACGCGGCTAGAAACAGCTGTTAACCCGACTTGTTGCACCGTCGAACAAACGGAGCCGCGGCGCACGGCAGCCGCGACCTCATACACCGCATCGACTCTTTGTTATTCAACAAGATGCAACGAATCTGCGGCACGTGCGCCGCCTGCAATCTGCATCCTTCCTCCCCTTCGCCCTCGTACGCCGGTTCATTCGGTCGGTTAACGGTGTTTCCCGGTGAATATCTCACGCTGAGGCCGTCTATTTTTGATCGGTCCCTACGCAATCGTCGGAACACAGGTTTTCGCCGCGGCGAAACTCTTTGCTCGTGTGAAAGTTAGAGCGGAAGAAGAGAATGCTGTTCTTCGATGAACTTCTGCTTAGATTCCTTTCTCGCGGTGCATGTGCTGGAGAGATGATCGATACCTCAGACGTTGCTTCTGGTTTGATAATGCGAATATGATACGATGAAGTTACTCGAACAGGAGATGTATCAATTATCCAATTCATTCGTCCGTATATTGGCACGTTTCTCTGAATATTTAATGCTAAGGCCATCAATTATTGATCAGCCCGCATTGAAAATGAGAACGCAAGTTTTCCGAGTTGAGAAACTCTTTGAACAAGACTCCCTCCTGTTTTATTTATCGCGGACCGTGGCTCGCCTCGGCTTCGAACGAACAATGTTATTAAAGTTACATTTTCCCCGGCATCGCGGGAACAGTGCAACGAAAACGCTTAGAAAGATATTGCTCGGGACTCGTGGTATCTCCATTAGCAAATCAAATCGCGGTTATCGCGAATTCGTTCCTCGGCCCACTCGTCATTAATCTTCTTCCATCATCCCCCGCGTTTTTACGCTCCCCTGTTTCACCGTTAACAATCGCCTTAAGAAGTTCACGCTGCATTTACCCGGGTCCGATTCTCCTCTTCTTCTCCGGGGTTTTTTGTTCCAGTATTCATAATGCCGCGATGGAAAACTCGGTAACCTGTCGGATACACTTCGGTCTCGTTCCTTTTTCCCTTAGAGCCGGGCTTTCGTAATCATCTGTCGATCGTCGGTCGACCGACTGTTTC